GCTAAATAACAGAAAATGCGAGCCCTGGGAGAAGCCAGGCTGTGGATAAAGTGTTGGCAATCTTCATTAAGGTCCTGACTGTGCATGAAGTCACCCAGAGTTGATATGTGGAGAGTGCTAAGGGGTGAGGGCTCAAGGGATCTCTACACAAAGCTGTTCGGGGTCTGTAAGCGTGGTTCTCCCCAGTGACCTGGAGAAGCATCAGCTGTCAGTTTTATATCACTTCTAGGGCAGGGGATGTCCTCTTGACTTCCTCATACTGGGGCTGATAGGATGATCATTCAAAATATTATGAAGCACTATACAAATTACCATATGATCGTTTAATATTTTTTAGGGTTTTTTGAGGTATAGTCGGTTACAATATGTCAGTTTGTGGTATACAGCAGAATGTTTCAGTCATACATATACATACATATAACTGTTTTCATATTCTTTTCCATTAGAGGTTACTACAAGATATTGAATATAGTTCCCTATGCTATACAGAAAAATTTATTTTTTATCTATTTTATATATAGTAGTTGGTATTCGCAAATCTCAAACTCCCAGTTTATAAACCCTTCCCACCCTTTCCCCCCTGGTAGCCATAAGTTTGTTTTCTATGTCTGTGAGTCTGTTCCTGTTTTGCAGATAAGTTCATTAGTGTCTTCTTTTTTCTTTCTTCCTTTTTTTTTTTTAAGATGAATGAAATCTTATGGTATTTTTCTTTCCCTTTCTGGCTTACTTCACTTAGAATAATGATCTCCAGGTCCATCCATGTTGCTGCAAATGGATTTTTTAAATTCTCTTTTAAGGTTGACTAGTACTCCATTGTATAAATATACCACAGCTTCTTAATCCAGCCATCTGTCGATGGACACTTAGGTTGTTTCCATGTCTCAGCTATTGTATATAGTGCTGCTGTGAACATTGGGGTGCATGTATCTTTTCAAAGTTGAATTCCCTCTGGATATATGTCCAAGGTTGGGATTGCTGGATTCCATATGGTCGTTTTAAATGAGTATAAGGTAATTCAGCAGCACTGAGAGTTATTCAAAACTTCTGAATCACTTCATTTCCTGGATGTGTTCTGAGGAGAAATATAGATGGTGTCTTAACATGTGAATTGCATCACCGAAGTAAACCTTAGATAAAGAGGGGAAGAGGAATTTGACTTTCCTCTAGTTCTTTTCAAATTTAATTGATATTTACCTTATACCATAAACCTGTAAGAAATAAATTATATTTCACATTGAATATTTGATTTAAAATAAGAATGATCATTTGGACATTGCCTTTATCTCAAGCTAAGAGCCTGTAGTTATAGGTTTTTCTTTAATGTGTTGTATGTGTAAAGTGCATAATACAATGCTTGGCACATAGGAAATGTTTAATAAATTACAGACAACTATGATTATTATTAAATTCTTCATGAAGGGTTCATAGGTCTTATATGGAAGTGGTATTCCTACTGAAAACATATTAAGCAAGATATGACTTCAGTTCAGGTTTAAACTTTGAAAGCATTAACTTTTATGTAATGGGATTAGAGATAATGAATGTTAATTTCATTCTTTATCAAACATAATACACTCTCACCATACTAATACGTTATTATAAAGACTGGAAGTTTTTCTTTTTTCACTTAGAAAGCTAAACCTATAATATAAGCTTTTAATTTTATGAATAAAAGCATTTTCCTTGGATTTATTGGCCCCAATAACCTCTGCATTTGATATTCAGAGGTGATTTCACAGTGTTCATTTAAAGGGAAAGCAATGAACAACGCAGAAGGGACATGTGTGATAGTGTATGTTAGCCTCCTGGTTCAATTTCTGACACGGGTATTTATTTTTCTTGAAGTTATTCTTGAAAGAAGGTTGTTGGACCTTCTGGAAATATTAACAAGAAGTGGCCTACTTAGGTCAGACGCCGGTTGGCTTGAGGGAAAAGACTGACATTATTGATCACAAAGAGCAAATTTATATAATTTTCAGTAGACAGAAAGTTGGAAGGCTGCATGATGGAATTGACATTCCAAGAGATCTCAACAAGGCTGAGTGGTGAGCTCAGACCAATGAGAGGAAGTTTGGCAAGAACATGGGGAGACAGAGGTCATGGGGAGACATGCTGGATGACACCTCACATGAACAGGTCCTAGGGAGCACTTTTAACTTAATGTCCAGTGTGAACTGCCGAGGAGGCAAACGCAGTGCTGGATTGACTCAAAACAGGAAGCCTGCCCTTGGGGCAAAAGTCTTCAGAACATGGTAGCTGAGACCCACGGCCAATTAAATTCCTGGAGCCCTGTGAGATACATTCTTGTGTCCATTATCCCATGGTAATTAAAATATCATATTAAATGGCTGCATAATATTCCATCTGTGGAAGTGCCATGAATACTTCTATTTGAGTGTATGAGTATGGGTATGTTTGTAGGTGATTATTATAAATAATCCTATGATGAACATCCTTTAAATATATTTTTAATGTACAGAATTAATGGATCAAAACATGTTTGTTGTTTGAAGGCTCCTGGTGAACTTTGTCAAATTGCTTGATATTGTTGGACTGTGGAACTTGTGGGGACAAGGGAGCAATGGCTGGATGGGTGGGATGAGGCCACATTTTGAAGAGTTTTGAATGTCAGGCTGAAAACTTTCAAATTTATTTTCTTTTATTGAAGAGCTAAGGCTGGAATGAAATTGAATTGATTTTTAAAAACTGAAGTATGGTCAGTTACAGCGTGTCAATTTCTGGTGTACAGCACAATGTTTCAGTCGTACACACACATACATATATTCATTTTCAAAAAAAAAAGAAAAAAGAAGACACTAATGAACTTATCTGCAAAATAGAAACAGACTCACAGACATAGTAAACAAATTTACAGTTACCAGGGGGAAAAGGGATAGGCAAGTACAAATGGGGAGTTTGAGGTTTGCAAATATTAAGTACTATGTATAAAACTGAATTGGTATTTTAACCTCTCTCCAATGCAGGCATGATATGGGCCGAATGTAAAGAAATCTGGACTCAAGGCCCCAAGGAGTACTTGTTTGAGTTGTGGAATATGCTTGATTTTGGTATGTTGGCAATCTTTGCAGCATCATTCATTGCAAGATTCATGGCATTCTGGCATGCTTCCAGAGCACAGAGCATCATTGATGCAAATGATACTTTGAAGGACTTGACAAAGGTCACATTGGGAGACAACGTGAAATACTACAATTTGGGTGAGTTTACAGCACGCAGTCAATATGAGTTCATGAAATGCAAGGTTTTCTGATAAAAGTACATGTTTGGTTACTACTCAGTTCTCAGAGTTATTGATTAGTTTCCAGTTTCTTCAGAGTTTATCTGAGGAAGCACCCTTTCTAACTTTTCCCTTGATTTTTCTTCTGGCTGGAAACCTCTCTTAATCATAAAAATCACCTCGCTTTATCTCTGGGATCAGTTGGCTAACTACCAAACTCCATTAAGAATGCCTGTTTAGGTCTTGGGTTTATTTTTTTTCCTCTTGTCTATTAAGAATAGTACACATTTAAGTACCATTTCCATTTAAGGCATGAAAACTGTATGGACGCCAAGGGAATTACTGGAGGCTCTGGAGGCTCCCAACAAATGACACTCCTTTTTCTCACCCAAGCTCTCAAATAGATGAGAAATAAAACCAGAAGCTAACACGGAGGCCAGATCACCACCTCTAATACTGGCAAAGTTCAGAGTGGGTGACATAATTCTGAGTCTGTTAGCCTCGGGCTCGGTAATATCGCACCCTAGGCTTAGGCAGACGTACCCTCCAAATTCCCGACAGCCATGGACAGGGCAGTCCTCCCCAGACTGGGGTGTGGCAGCAAGTATATGATCACGTGAGATTCCTCCATGGAGGACCAGGGGAGAATTCTCAGAAGAGCGAAGCTGAAGCAAATATGCATGATTATCCGTCCCTATTTAGCAATAAAGTCATTTAGCAAAAAGTCATTCCACCTCCCCAGAAAGAAAGTGACTAGTGGATAGAAATAGGATCAGTTATTTGCTTGGAGGAAATCTCTCCCTGCAGAAATCTGGGGTGAGGAAAATAGATTCCTGTTGAATACTTACTTAGAATCCTCTAGTAAGACATTAGTTATCATTCAGTTGACATCTCTGTGGGCTTATTGGCTATGTCACATAGGGATTTCTTTTTTATTATCAATTTTTTGTGTTATTTTAATATTTAATTAGCAAGTTTTAGTGCATAATGGAGGGCTTTTGTACAAGGATGTGTTGTACCACATAGGGAATAGAGCCATTATTTTATAACAAATATTTTTAACATACAGAATTTTTAAGTCAAAGTTATCTCTTTATATATTATAATTATTTTCAAAGCACTATAAAAAGGAAATTGCTTTTATTAGTTTATTGTACCCTTTCCTAATTCCACTTCTCAGAAAATAAGCAAATACAAATTTATAATTACATTTTTTCCTCTTTCTTACGCACTGCTTTGTATTTTTCTTCATAATGGTTTCTTAATTAGGTTTTTGATGACCTGATGTAATAATGCTAGAAAAGTTCATAAATGAATTATTACTACATTTTTATGATAAAAATAGACTTGAGTGACTGATATAAATTACTTTAATAAGTTTAAATAACTACAAGTAGTCCACAAGCCCAAAATGACATTACAGTGTAATTACAGTTTAAGACTAAATAATGATATCATTTATTTAGGGCCTTATTTTTTATTATAGTTTAAGATTAAATAGTAAATGCTACTATTTATTTAGTGCCAAGCACTTTCTAAACGCTGAATGTATGTTGACTTAACTGAATTCTTACAACAGGTGACAGAGGTAGGAGCAGTATTATCTTATTTATAAATATGAGAAAATAAAACTAAGTTAAATAACTTGTACCAGTTTTTCCAGTTGATTTTAGATGGAGAGCTAGAGGAATAGATATCCGAATTTTTACATATACTGAGTCCCTAATTTGAACTCTTAACCATTATGCTATTACCTTGTGGAAAATTGCTAGCAAACCAGGGTGGTCATTTTCTCAAGAAATTCTGAAGCTCAAATAGGTCTGACACTTAAAGAAGCCCTTTAAGTTAAGAGATTTCCATCAGGACCAGGATTGCTAATGCAATTGTATTTCTTCCCCAGAACAGAAGTCACCTAATTAAAACACTTAATAAACTCACCGTAACTCTTGTCTTTCCTTTTTCCTAGCCAGGATAAAGTGGGACCCCTCTGATCCTCAGATCATATCTGAAGGTCTTTATGCAATTGCTGTAGTCTTAAGTTTCTCCAGAATAGCTTACATTTTACCAGCAAATGAAAGCTTTGGACCTCTGCAGATATCACTTGGAAGAACAGTAAAAGACATCTTCAAGTTCATGGTCATATTCATCATGGTGTTTGTGGCCTTTATGATTGGAATGTTCAACCTCTACTCCTACTATATTGGTGCAAAACAAAACGAAGCCTTCACAACGTATGTGCTTTCAGATATTTTGATCATGGAGATTGCAGACTAAATAAATGTTAGCTTAAGAGTGTTCATATGTATCAATGGGATAAATAATGTTTTGGTAAAGACTTCATCTCCAGTTACTCTTTGGCAAAACAAATGGATTTTTAAAATTTATTCTTTATTGAAGTATAGTCAGTTACAATATATCAGTTTCTGGTGTGCAACATAGTGCCCCAGTCATACATATATATACATATATTTGTTTTCATCTTCTTTTTCATTGAAGGTTATTACAAGATATTGAATATAGTGCCCTGTGCTATACAGAATAAACTTGTTTTTATCTATTCTTATATATAATATTTAATGGAAATGAGTGGATTTTAAAATGAGTTGGAAGAACTAAAAAATGTAGGTACCTTCTTAATATTAAGTAATAATACCTAACATTTTTAGAGCCAGAAACTACCTCACACACATCCTTCTATTACTGCTGTTACACACACAAAAAAGAGGAAACCAAAGTTCAGAAAGGTTAAATGACATGCTGAATGTCGCACGGCTGCTAGTTCGCAGAAAACCCAGGACATGGTCCCCCGTCCACTGACCCCAGCATCCGTGCGGTCACTGCTGTGCCCTGCTTACTAGAGATCCCTGAGGTGCTGGCTGTGAGAACGGCTGCCTCCTGATTCAGTTTGTCAGATCTTAATCATTGAGAAGATCTGAGTTATCAAAAGTGACAAGAGTTTTGACTTATGTTCACCACTGACACACGTTTTTTTTATAAAGTGTGTTTGGAAAAGATTACTCAGATTTTAGGTATTCGGTGTTACAATGAGAGATACTGGCCGAAGCTTACGTTATTGTTGTCCATAGTCCTGTAAAGTTCCGTTTATCAGAGAAATGAAACCACCCAGGCTAAGCAGAGGGGCTTAGCTGTGGTCAACAACTACGCCTAAAACATTAAAATTCCTAAGACATGTCAGTGATTTTGGTGACACTGGCTATGTTTATATTGTCCTGTTTTCCTCAAGATATCTTAAGACACGTACTATTATTATCTATTTATTGGCTATCAGTGGAAGTATACATGAGCAGGAAACCTCCAAATAATAAATTGCATCATTTTATTAAGAAAGTTAACACTTCCATTGCCAAAGCTATGGATTATTTAAATGTTAATATCTGTGGTTATGCAGTTATGCCAGCATTTACTGAGTGCTTATTATGTGCCAGATAGTGAGCTATGTGCTTCATCTAAACACTATTACCTCATCCTGCAACGATCCTGGAAAGAAAGTCATTGTACCCATTTTACAGAAAAGAAAACCGAGATTCAGGGAATTAAAGAATTTGCTTATGAATACCTAGTAATTTTCAAAGGCACTAAATCAACTCACTTTTATTATAGTACCGTTGTCATTTATTTGTACACTTTATCATTTCCCTTCTCGCCTTCTTTTTCCCCAGAGTGGAGGAGAGTTTTAAGACACTGTTTTGGGCTATATTTGGACTTTCTGAAGTGAAATCAGTAGTCATCAACTATAATCACAAATTCATTGAAAACATCGGTTATGTTCTTTACGGAGTGTACAATGTTACGATGGTCATTGTTCTGCTAAATATGTTGATTGCAATGATCAACAGTTCATTCCAGGAAATTGAGGTATAATCTCTACACGTTTGTATACCACATGCCTACATGTTTTAACTGTTCCAAGAATCAGCTCGGTAGTGGTGGTGACAATATAGACTGCTTTCCCTCTGTTCTTTCCCTTTTTATACACTTCTTTTTTTTTAGGGTTTTTAAAAGATGCTTTTTTTTTTTTAAATTAACACTGTAAAAATAACTTCTTTTTTTTGTATAGTGCTATGAGGGGTTCTTTTGGAAATTTTTTTAATTCTTATTTTTTATTGAAATGTAGTCAATTTACAATGTTAGTTTCAGGTATTACTGACTTCTTTGCAGACTTTAGAGCACAGAATATCTATAATTTTTATATACTTTATATTCAGTGCTTCAGAAAATTTTAACACTGCTTTCAAATGCATCATCTCTGGGTATGGTGGGATATAAGGTATATGGAGGAGAAGTGTGTGATTTGTTACTATGATTTAAAATACTTTAGAAATGCTATATCAGCATAAATTTATATTTTATTCAAAAATTATTGCTTACGAATACCACTATTCTCCAAATCTTTTTTGGAGTGATGTCCAAAATTGACCCTTTCTCAAATTCAGAGTGATAGTGTAAATTTTTTATTCCAGAAATCTTGGTGTCCCAAATTAATCAAAGTAGTGATCTATTGCAGAATAAGAGAGTGAATAATTGTTCAGAGTGTCTTTCAGAATGTAGGAAAATACATTGATATCTTTCAGTGTGTTTATAAACACATGCAAGTTTTGAGATCTTTAGTTCTGTTAAGTTTGATAAAAATTTAGGCAGATGTAGGAAAGAGTGTGTGAGCAGCACATTAACGTTTTTGAAAAAATCTTGGAGAAGGCTTTGGGGTCTGAGAGTGTGTGTAGGTATCATTACTGCCATCCAGCCACACGGTGTTAGAAGCATCGCAGTGATTCTGTGCACGCGTTTCCTTGCTAAACTGTCATGTTTATCTGTATAGGATGATGCTGATGTGGAATGGAAATTTGCAAGGGCCAAACTTTGGTTTTCCTACTTTGAGGAGGGAAGAACTCTTCCTGTTCCCTTCAACCTGGTGCCAAGTCCAAAGTCCCTGTTTTATCTCTTACTGAGGCTTAAAAAATGGATTTCCGAGCTGTTCCAGGGCCATAAAAAAGGTTTCCAGGAGGATGCCGAAATGAACAAGGTGATTTGACTTGATAATTTAAAGTTGTATTTTTTAACGCGGAGACCATTATAACCACCATACTCCACCCCTTTGTAAAGAAGCAGTGCGTTATCTGTCATGCCCACCCATCCCCAAGTGGAGTCACTTGCCTATAGGAGTAGGTACCTAGTCACCTACCTAAAGGGGCAGGCCTTCGGCTTGTGTCCATTTAATAGGTGCACACTGGACATTTCCTACTTAAAGCTATAAGAAAAATCCATGCAACAGAACTGAAATAATATATATCATTATCTGGAGTGGGTACTGAAAGGGAGTGCTATTCTGGGCCCCATTTTTGCTCTTGTGGCTACACGTCCCTCACTTCACCTTCAGTTTATACAGCCAGGTGTATTTATATACCTCCATTTGTACAGCTTCAATTTTTTGCACCTTCAGTATACACAGCTAGCTGATTATGACTTGGGGGAAACTCTCAGACTCTTAGGTAGCTTGTACACTGAAAAATTCTGAAATCAATTGCTCACGTGTAATGTGGGACACCAGGCTCGGTATTAAGTAGTTCAAGAAAGAAAAATCTAAGGTACTCATTGGAAACATTTATCCCATGAGGCAGTGTAATCTTAAGAAGTCATAAAAGTGCTCAGATGAAGGAGCAGAATGATCGCAGTGTGCTCAGAACCGTGCAGAGGATTTCACTGAGAGCGTGTGGAATGCTGTGGGTAATGCATGTGGGTGGGGAGGTTACTCTCTGCAAGAGAGTCTTCGGGGTAGAGAACTCTACATCCAGGAGGGGCACTGAGAGACCAGATGCCTCCAGAGGAGGAGGGCCAGGAAGGGGTCAGGTGTGGATATGGTGTCCTGTGAAGGGAAGTGAAGGAACTGGCTGCTTCATCTGTAGAAAGGCAAATTGACGATTGAAGAGCAAAAAATGAATATCTTTACAGTTCCCAATTTTGACAAGGAAACACATTGGGCTTTTTTTCCTTCAAAAATAGGAAAAGAGGCAATGGGCAGAAGCTGCAAATAGTTCTGAGTTCTATGTAAAAACAAATTTGTAACAAGATCTGCCCAACAGAGTGGTAGGTTGTCTTATGAAGTAGTGAGCTCCCCAACATTGCAAGTAATCAATAAATGCTGGAATGACCAACATTAGGAATTTATAGATTTTCCTACACTGGGTGGGCAGCTGAGCCAAATGATTGTAAAGTTTCTTTGCAATTATAAGATTCTATCATTGAATAAAAAGGAAACGTCCTAATTTCTGCTGTATTTGCTAATTACTACTTGAAATTCTCAAGTTAAGCTCCCTGAACTCCAATTTTCTCAAATCTAAAATGGGAATAAAAATTACATCTACATCCTGAAGATCAGATCAGATAAATATGTAAAAGTGCTTTGAGAATTCTAAAGACCTCTTTAAATATATTGTGGTTATTTTGTATAGGAATTTTGGGGGGAAATGCTATCTTTGATGCTCTCCCAGATGTATAATTTACAGAAATCAGTGGGTTGAGTGGCAAAAATTTCCCTCACTTAATGTTATTTAGAGTGTAATTTATAGATGTGATTAGAACTACATCCTGAGACAACTCAGTGTCCAAAGGAAATGTCTAAGTACTCACCAGAGGGAAGACCCCAATAAGACTGTTTCTCTCATTGAAACTTGCTGGAGAATTAGACGAGATGGCTTTGAAAATATGGAATAAAGAAAGAGTGAAACTCATTTTATTATTCCAATTGTCCAGTTAGCGATTGTACTCATTTAACTCTCTGTCTTTAAAAGAGAAATGAAGAAAAGAAATTTGGAATTTTGGGAAGCCACGAAGACCTTTCAAAATTATCGCTTGACAAAAAACAGGTAAGATCATATTTGAAAAAAAATGAAGGCACGCATGCAATCAGGCTTATCTTTTCAGAGAAAAGGACAAATGTTCAGAAGCAATTTCAAGAAACAGTAGACACATTAAAGAAGTATTTTAACAATACTCAAAGAATCTGTTATTGAGAGGGGGAAAATAAGTCTGTGTCCAATTAATCAGCAAAAAGAATGACATGGATGTTTAAGACAGATACTAAACACATTATCGGGGGGTACTTATGGGTGACGGGATATAGGAGTTGTGATGTAAAAAAGGAAAAATTGAAATAATAGAGGGGTCTGTTGGGGACTTGATGGAGATACAATTAACTTAATTCTCGGCAGCCTGGTGACAACCATGCACACCTAGCAGAGCCTCCCTATTTGTCAGTAATCAAGAAGCTGTCAAAAAAGACCCCCTGAGAAGCCAGCGGCTACTGTAGTGAGTGCAGCTTCGTGAGCTCCCCAGTTTGGGGGGGCAGCATCCCCGATGAGGAGGGCTTTTGCTTCATTCTTGCAGCAGGCACATAGTAGGGGTGCAATAAATGCTTGTTGCTGAGGGAAATTATATGTGAATTAATAAGGAGAAATGTAATGTACAGATAGGACTTGCATTCAGTTGCACTTTAAACAAACAAACCAACCAACCCAAAATCATGTTGTTGTAAACCAGGCAGTTGTTTCTCCCCCTCTCATTTAACTCTCCAGAGCTGGCGTGCAGGACCGTTGTCAGGGGTCAGTATCTGATTCTCCTAGATTTTTTGTCATCGTCAGGTGCAAGATGACAGCTTCACCTCCAGATGTCACACCCACTTTTCCGGCCTGAAGAAGGAGTAGGGCCAAGGGAAAGTGGGCCACGCTAGCCAGCGGAGTCTGCCACCGCCCGCCTTCCAACAATTCTTGTTATTGTATCTAATCAGCCAGAACTGGGCTGCAGGGCCACCCCATGGGACACAAATGCCAGGGAAGGGCGCTATTAGGTTTTGTTTTTAAGCTAAGTATGTTACCTCCTCCAACAAAACAGGAATACTCTTAAGTCTCGATGCAGTATCGATCTAGTAAGGGCACGGAACTCAGTAGTCAGAAGAGGGGGATCTCATCCCATCTCTGCTCCGTCAGCAATTCATTTAACTTCTCTGAACTTTCACTTCCTCATCTAGAAAACGAGAATGATCAAACGGTACAACCCATCACACTAGATTGTCATGAGGATTCAGTTGATGCTTTGCAGATGACAAACACTCTGACACAAATGTGAAGTACTCATTATTGAGAAGTGGCTCATTTTGTGATTTGCTTATAAATAACCCAATAAAGATGTTTCACAAATAGGTCAGGGTGAGCTGAATTTTATAGTTTTCCAGCAAGAAACTACTTGGGTTGGAAGAATGATGACTACATGATGACAGTAAATCACTGAACACATATGAGAAAAATTCAAGGGCAATCAAAATGCCCTTTTTCCCCCATTTCTAATAGAAACTATAATATCTTTCCAGTCAAATGACTTTATTTTCTTTGGGGTTTCTCCAATCACGTAGAAAATTGAAATTTGTTTCTATCATCTGACAAACACATTTTATATCTTTTAACCAAGGCTTGGATTACTTTACACTTTCTGATAGAGTGTATTTCAATGCCAGATGGAAACAAACTAAGGGCTATACTAAGCCTGTGGTGTCTGATCCCAGTGGTGGATCAAGAGAATGTGATCAGCTGAATGCCAGCTGAACCCTTTTGAGTGACAGTTGTAGCAGCTGTGGGGAGGTACCGCTCATGTCTTTCAAGAGAGACGCTGTTTCAAGGGTTTCGATCAGCTGCATCTTGGGACGTCCCCTCAGCTTCCCCTCCATGGCCGTGCTCTTTAGGGAATAGGTCATTCCCGGAATGACTTAGTCATGGACCAGTTGAAAGTAATATTCAGCAAAGTATCTCCAGGAAAAAAAAAATAGAGCAGATTAAATCTAACCGTGAAATTGTCCTAAAGCTACAGCGTAGATATTTATCCTTCTATTTCATGCTTATAGCCGTTGACACTCGGAGAACACCTACTATCTCTCAAGCTACGCATCCTACACACCTCAGCTCTGTAATCCCCGCATTAGCTCTAGGAGGTAGGTCATATGATTTTCCCTATTTTATACAGGAGAACCCTGAGGATAATAGAGGGGAAATGACCTGCCCAGAGTCCCATTTCAGCCACATGGCAGACCCAGAATTCAAATCCACATCTGCTTGATTCCAAAACAGGAGCTTCTGTGAGTCCTGTACCCCGTGGCTTCGTTTCACATGTGCATCCTCTGCTGACTCATCGTATTGCCTCTACCTGTTCAGTGCCCTGCTTTGACCCCAGCCTCAGGCCAGTCCCTGCTTATGGGAAGTGGGAGACACCCAGAACTGTTGCTCCGTCCAGCAGCATAATAAATTCCCAAGACTGAGGCTTGCTTGTCCCTCTTAATAAGAACAAACAAGTTGTTAGGTGTGCATCCCTCTAACCCTGCAATGAAGCTACAAGATGAGAAATGCTAAAATCAAGCTAATTAGCAGGAAGTGAAAAAAGAAAAAAAGAGTGCAGGAAATATGGTGGAAGGTATTTAAAAAAAAAGAATCAGAGGTGCTTCATTCAGAATCGGAGTGTGTTATCTCCACATGAGGCAGTAACAAAGCTTAGACCCAGTCCCTCCTGCTTCCCCTCAGCAAGCCGCCCTCCCCCACTCCCATTGCATCACACATTCAGTAAGTACCCTCGATAAATGCCCAGGTCACTAAGGTTTAGATACTGTTCATATTGCCAACTGAATTCCCTCAAGTTCCCAGTCTATTTTAGTAGCTGTGCATCAAAACAGATATAAATTAGAATTTTCTGCCACCAAGTGGTAGTAATGCTTCTTTGCACCATTGGGTAAGTTTCTTCTTACCTACTGTTTCTTTGTATTATTCAATTTTTAAACATGTATTTGTTGGAAGATTTACTATGTGTTAGAAACTGATTGGAAATTTTTACTGAACAAATATTGCATTTGCAATCCAAATTCATATTTAGATTTAGAGCAGAACTAGTCACATAAAAATGATCCAAATGAATTTATAAGTCTTTAATCATATACCATTTAAGCAGACCAGTGTTTCCCAAGGAGGAGTGATTTTGACTCCCCACTACCGGCAGCCCAGAGGGCCCTGGTAATACCTGGAGACATTTTTGGTGGTCCCAACTGGAGAGGGGAGCGGTTATTGGCATCTGGGGAGTAGAGGCCAGGGATGCTGGAAAACGTGATACAATGCACCGGAAGCCCCCGACAATAAAGAATTACCCAGCCAAGAATGTCAAAGAATATTGCAACTGAGAAACCCTAGACTCTACCCACAGAGCGCATGCAAAGGGGAGCTGGGTGTTATGCTAAATCTGTGTGACACAGCGGAGCTGCGATCATTGGCCCTTCGAGAGCCACACTCGAGAAAACCCACAATTATGCCCATTCTCAAGTGAACAGAATAGCATTTTCTGGCTTTCCTGGCACTGGTAGCTTCTGTGCCATCCAATGTGTTAGTTTGTAAAAAGTCTGCCCCCGGTCTTAAAACCAATTCTCCATGTTTCAGACATATCTTCACCATGCGGTTGAGCTGCAACCATCTGGTTCATGACTCCAGGTTATAACCTGTCTCGTATAGCGAGCTGACCAGAAACCAAGCGATTTCCATTAGTGACCCAAGTGCACTTCCTCCTTCCTTCGGTTCACCAGCCAACAACTTTTGAGCACTTGCCATCTGTTGGGCAGTGCTGGCTCTGGGGACCCGAAGCTGAACTAAAGGAAGTGCCCCCTTCCGCGGTGCCTAGGCGGATGAATACATAATTGTCAATCGTGGAGCATGTTGTGGAGCATACACAAGGAAGGCCTCGTTTGCTCAAGATCTGTCTTTTCACGGAGTGGGCTGAGAAAGCCGTCTGAGTGAGGAGCTCTGTTTTAAGCTGAAAATCCAGAGGATCGGGCAAAGCAAGTCAGCCAGGCAGAGAGCTGGGAAAAGAGTGTTTCGGGAACGGGGAATAACAAACCCAAAGGCCTTAAATTAGAAAAAAGCAAATGAAAAAAGTCTTGTGTGGTGTTACTATAAGTTTTTATTTTTAAAGGATTATTGCCATAGGCATGGTGTGTGGTAGAGCGGCCTTAATTTGGGATGATTGAGACATCAAGTATTAAGGTCCACATATTCATCTCTAAAAAAATCCCAAAGAAGTATAATTTTTCACTTTCTTATTTCCATGAACACCATTTGGATGTGTTAGTGGCCTCTAATGAAAGGAGACGTCAAATTGCAACCATGCCATTTTTTTTTCATTTTTCAGTTTTATTAGGTAAAATTGATACAATTTGACTGCACATATACAATATATTGCATGTAAGTACATATATACAATATACACAAATTTTTTAATTTACATATGTGTACTCTTCATTGTTTCTAAGAACAATTTAGAGCTTTAGCTTTTTAAACTTACATAGTTATCAAAGGAATTAAAAGCCAACCACAAAATAAGAATCAACAAAATGCAGTAATCCAATCATAAAGGACAGTACAATGTGCTTACACATATTCAAGAAATCAATCATCTACATGGTATGAATAATAAGTAGTTCATTTGTGTCCTTTTTTGTTTCAGATTCCACATATAAGTGATATCACATGGCATTTTTCTTTCTCTTTCTGCTTTAAGTTCACTTAGAATGATGAAATCCAGGTCCATCCATGTTGCTGCAAATGGCATTATTTTATTATTTTTTATGGCTGAGTAGTATTCTATTGTATAAATATGCCACATTCTTTATCCAGTCGTCTGTCATTGGACATTTGGGCTGTTTCCATGCCTTAGTGAGCTTGACTCTGGTTATCGTGTTTAATGATGTCCTTAAGGCATAAATCAGAGCTTGAAAGCCAGGAATAACTCTATCATTATAAAAATAAAGGAATAATTATATGATTTAAAATAAATATTAATAACCATATTATTAAAATATGATGGAGGTTGCATCAAATTCATAAATCAGTAGGACTGGAAGGACTAGAGAGGTCAGCCAGAAGAGCCCCTTCATTGGCAGAAGAGATCAGAGTTTCGGCCTCTCCCCTAGTGAGCCACACACAGCCAGCCTGTGGCCAAGACAGATTTGGGTTTTCAGGTTTCCTTCCAGTGCTCTTCTGGAGACTCTAAGCTGCCTCTCCGGCTAATTTGGTCAACTGTATAATTTGATCTTAATTTTTTTTAAGTTAATATAAAGTAAAAGATACATTTTGCTGACTCTTTTAGAGAAGGTAAAAGAAAAAGGGAAAAGCCCACAGAAAAGGATGCTATCTTAACAACCGCTTCAAGACTGTATGTTGTTTGCTATGAGTCACACCTGCCTTGCTATATTTTTCCTGTTACTATCACTCAGCTAGATCATAATGATTTATGTGGAGGATTAAGTACCCAGAACCCAGCACAGGTAGGCGTGACATATAGAGGACACTCAGCTCACACCTGTTTAATGGATGTATGTGTGCATAGCTACTCTAATTCAGCGTGTAGCCTTTTAAAGCGAAAAAGCACTGAAGTGAAGTCAAGGATTTTTACCCAATCTCGTTGAGCTTTACTTGTAGCAACTTAGATGTCATTGGGAGACATAAATCTTGGCTGACTTAGTATATATTCCTGAAGTTTTTTTTCCCCTGGAAAACGTTGTGCACCCCCCAAAATACATATTTGGAGATGCTGTGTTTTGCTCTGTTTGTCCTACTTATTTCTTTGGAAAACCATTTTTCCCTTTAGAAAATACCTGAAAGAGTTTTTAATCGTGCTCCTAGAGTGTTCATATGGTACTTTACCAGCTTTCTTGCAGAGTGCTTTAATTCTTAGTTATTTGCCTCTTCAAGAAAATATATTATTTGAAAAGTGCTGCCCAGATAGAATACTCTACAGATCCTAAATTTCAAATGGATTTATTAGTGCTTTCTTGGTACCTGAATTCTGTTCCACAAAAAAGTCTTACCCCGGTGTTGGTTCTGTTTTTGTTTTTTTTAATGAGGGTACTGGGGATCGAACTCCTGGATGCTAAGCATGAGCTCTACCCACCCCCCAACCCTGGTGTTTCTTCAGCATGCACATCACTCTGCTGCAGGTGTGGATGGTGTGGTCAGTCATGCTGGCCTGTTGATCCCTCATCAATGGATTTCCAAGATCACTGCCACCACTTTCCCAACCTGTTTGCCTCTTCCTCTACCAAGGATGTATCTGTGGGAAGGTTAAAGCATGATACTTGTGATGACATGATTGACAACCACAAAGTCTAAGAGAATCCTCAGACAACCTCTGATAGCCACTGAGAGGCTGAACACACCTAAAGGCTCTATGATGTGTCTTGTAAGACAGAATAGTAAATAAAGTTAAAATGGTGCTCTACCTATAGATAAGATTGTGTTGTGTATATGAGACTTTTTATCAGTTCACATATGTAACTAATAAATACCACATTGTTTAAACAGTTAAATAAGGATCAATTTCTAATTCTTTTCAAATTACAGTTTGGGCACAGTAAACAATCCAGCATAAGGAGCTCAGAAGATTTCCAGTTAAATAGTTTCAATAATCGTCCGAGACAGTATCAGGTAAGCATGAATGTTTAAAGTCTGGTGATTTGTAACATTTAGAAACTCAACCTATATGATTCTTTAAATGAAAATGAACTATTATATTGTCTCAATATCAAAATAATGCACTAATTCAAAAAAATATTTGAGTAACTACCATGTGCCAGGCACTTTCTAAGTAGTAGGAATACATAAGCAAAAAAAAAAAAAATAGATGAAGTCCTGGCATCATGGAACTTAGAGTCTACATGTTCATGTTTTCTTACAAAAAACATAAGAGAGTAAAAATCACCTCAAGCCCCACACTGAGAAATAAAGACTACTTACTTTTGGTGAATATTGTGCCAGATGATTATATGTATGTATATTATTTTACAAATAGTTTAATATTATTCTAGAAATGTATATGTAATATTATATAAATGAGTTAATAGTACTTATATAGTGAGTAATAGTTTTTCACTTCACAAAACATATTCTTATTAATTTTAATGGGTGTATAGTATTCCTTTGTACAATTATATGATAATTTATTAAAATCATCCCCTACTGATGAATATTTAGGGTCTGTTTTTTCTTCTATTATAAGTAGTGACTACTCTGAGAAGGAATTTTTTTTAATGGAGGTACTGGGAATTGAACCCAGGACCTGCTGCATGCTAAGCATGTGCTCTACCACTGAGCCGTTCCCCACCCTAAGAAGTACTACTATGAACATACTTGTCCAGGTACCCAATTATATCCTTAGAATAAGTTCTTGAACTGGAATTTTACTATCTACCATTTAATGTTGGGCTTAGGTAATAAGATTTCGTGTAGCTGTACATCCACTCAGGAACCCCTACATGTGTGCTAAACTTCTTACTTTTCATGAAAAGTGTGTAGCAAAAGCAAACATCCTCATGGTAGAAGCCGAGGTCCCACGCTGAAACTAGTCATTCCTAAATGATTAGCAAGTATGCAATCGAAACTGATCACATTTCTTGGTAAGGGAGGAAAAGACATAAACCAGAGCACATTTACTGACGTTTCCATTTCCACACTCAGAAATGCTCGCCCTTGACCCATCCAGCGGAAAGGCCATGTCCTGCTCTAAAATCTTTCAAGTAAAAGACAAGCAATGAAGATCAAGGATTAGATTTTTGCTCTAACCCTCACTCTTTTCTCAAGAATAAACTTTTGAGTCATTAGCCCTGGTGATGTGAAAATTGCTTTTAAAATCTGGAGATAGTTTGCATTCCTTACCAGACAAATCATCTTCATCTTTCATAGCTAGGACTTCTGAAACTGCCTACTAAAGAGAAAGACTCAGAAACAATTCCAAATGAGAGATTTACCATGAACATAAAACTGAGATGGAGTTCTCCTTTTTTTTTTTTGTCTAGAAAATAATGAAGAGGCTCATTAAAAGATACGTATTGCAAGCCCAGATAGATAAGGAGAGTGATGAGGTGAATGAAGGTGAGTTGAACACAGGGACAAGCCAGCCCCGAGCGGGAGCCGGGGCCTGAGCTGGGGGAGCGCTGGAGAGACAGGCGAGGGAGGGGTGAGCCTCAAGGGGAGAAGGTGGGATCTCACCAGCCATCAACCCCGCCCCCTACTGGGGAGCTAGGCTATTTCTCCGCAGCTGGGAGCGGATGCCACTGCTTAAGATAGGTAACGTCAGTCATCCTCGGCATTTGTGGGGTTTGGTTCCCGGACCTGCGTGGATACCAAAATCCCAAGTCCCTTACATACGATGGAGTCAGCATTGCAGTCCACCCTCCGTGTCTACGGATGTGGGACCCGTGGATGGGGAGACCGGGCTGTGTTATTTTGGGGGGGACTTGGAGAGACAAGGAAGTGGTTGAGGACAGTGAGGCCCGTGGTCCCCAAACCGCATAACCTCTGCCACCAGTGCTTCCCTTTTACTTACTTTAGGAGGACTTTTGTTGTAAGTTCTCTAGCCTTTTCATTAACCAAAATATTTAGCCGAGAAAATAGAAACCTGCCTCATTAAAAAGTGATTTCCTTTGAAAGGATTCGGAATACAGGTGTGTGTGGAATTAAGACTGCTTTCAATCCACCCCAGAATCACTGGTTCCTCTGCGTTACGTCTTGACAGTTGACATCTTACCACTCTTGTTTTTCAAAGGGGAACTGAAGGAAATTAAACAGGACATCTCAAGCCTCCGCTATGAACTCCTTGAAGAAAAAACTCAGAATTCAGAAGACCTGGCGGAGCTTATCAGAAAACTTGGGGAGAAATTATCGATGGAACCAAATCAAGGGGAAAGCAATAGATAATGCAAAGACTTTCTTTAAAAAATTTATATTTATTTGTCCACTCGAAGCCATATTATTTTCTGATTTATTTTTTTAAGTGCCAGTGTGACTACTTTTTAAACAAGGAAATGTTCAAAGATAAATTGGGTCGTGCTTTCATTTGGAACGCTACTATTTAATATTTTTGGTGATTAAACTTCATTGTTCAGACTAAATGTTGCAGATTTTGATGAAAAGTATGCCTGGTGTCTGGTGCTTGTTTTGGAAACTGCTTTCTTGGGTGTAACTATTGTGATGACGTGACTGCATGGAGAGTCCACCTGGGAGCCGTTGCCACTGGCAGGGCAGACACTCCAGACTGCGGTCTTTCCTCTGGCGGTGATTTCGGGCACCTCCTCGACTGCTCTGTGGATCCTCTGATGGTGACTTGCAGATCTGAAGTCTAGAGGAAAATAATCTCTTGCCGTTCAGAGAATACTGTTTAATCCTCTACTCTGCTTAGTCCCCACAGAATATGATTGATAATGTCTGTGTAAAATGGGGTGCAGTCTTTCTTAAATTCTGTTTCATCTCTGAAAATGTTATAGTTACCAGTGAAAAAATGCTTCCTTCACTGAACCCTGGAAACGGTTCAGTTGTGTGTGTGTGTGTGTGTGTGTGTGTGTGTGCATGCACACACACACACACACATATAAAGTGCTTGTCTTATTTTCTTTGCAGCCAATATAGACACTCAGAAGCTTTTTATGGCACATTTTTCATTGTGACTGAAAAATTATTGGCCAGATAAGAGCCCTTTATCGGAGAAGTATCAAAGCCACAAACAAATGTGGTTATCTTGTCCAGTTACAGCACAGTTTGGGGCCATTTCTGGGGGACGTTCTGCATGAATTCCCATATATGACATCAAATGCAGAGGAAAACAGTGTTGAAGACATTTGCACATACTTACTTGTTACGCTGAGTATATTCTTCCCTCCCTTCAAAGTATATAAAACAGGAATTTGCATTCGTGAGCGTTTACCAAGAGGTTGCTAGTACTCACTGATGATGTGAAACTAAAAGAAAGAAATGAAGGTTTATCTGTTTAGCTGCCCAAAGACTCAACATTTAGATGCTGCTGGCCATTGACTGGAAGTGCTGCTTTAAATTCAATCAGGAGAGGCTTCCAATGCACATTTTAAGTATCATTTTAAGGATAAAATGGTCACAGAGAACCTGTTTAGCCCCAACTTTGACTTCGTTTAAGTCAAAGAACCTTTCTGTAATCAGATCAGAAAATCTAGCTGAAATTTTGTATTCGGTGATTTTGTGTCTGTGGGTATTGCTTACTGAGAAGTTATTCAGTGATGCAGAAAAGGTCTGTTCTCAAACGTTTTGTGACCATATTTGAATCAGAAGGTGTAAAAGCCGATCAACCTCACACCAAATGCACTATCGGCAAATTAAAATCACCTACGCACACAAAGCTCGCCTGCTGTGCCGCGCAGGAGCTCAGCCTCCGGGCCAAGGAGCGCTCTGCAGCAGCAGACGGGCTCGACTCTAGAAGACATATTTAGATTCCTCAGTGTCTTTTATGTTGGGTTGACTTGACAAGATACGCATTTTAGGAAATGCAGCAGGCATGACTATGGGTTCCTCAGTAAAAGGCGCTACCATCAAGTGCCACCTGTTACTGTTCAAAATTAAATGTCCCGGCGTCATTTCCCTCAGAGGGCAGCTGGATGGGCATCGCTTCTGATTTCCTTTTCATTGGACAATGAAAAGAGAAACCGAGCATATTTTAAGAAAGGCTGTGACAATTCCAGCAAGAGCTTAACTGCAGGCATATTGGCAAAGGGTGGTCAAAGCACAACCATCCTTCAAAAGTCTCAAGACTTTTTACAAGGCTTTACATCCTGCGTTCATGTTGCAGTCAGGCTAACCTTTGAAAATTAGGTAATTAGGAAGTTTAAATGTGTTTATCCAAAGTGCTGTCTCTCAAATTTCTCTGAGGTTTGGCGCTTTCTGGAAGTTTGGGGGCCACAAAGAGGCTAGGACGGTGCTGTCTGACACTCTGATCACACACTGCTCCCTGCGAGCCAAGCCCTGCCCGTGCCTCATGGCGAACCCACCGCCAGTGGACAGAATGAAGTCCCAGGTTTTGTACCCCAATGCGTGGTTTTACTCTGCTGATCTCATGACTCTGAAACCAAGAAATAACACAAATTCAAAATGGCTTTACAAGGCATATAAAAATGAATCATCAGAATCTACCATCTGCTGAAAACTTTGCCAGGAATTGAAAGGAATAGAAAATGTGTCCGACCTCAAGGATCTTGCAAACAAGTAAAGAAAGGACTCCTAATACACGTACAGGTAGCATTTACTGAGCTCCTGCCATGTGCCAGGCGCTGGGGACACTGCTATCCACGCGCTGTGGAATTTAACCTGGTTTAAGCTGCATGAGGTTAGAAACAATACAACAGAGGCTTTTAGTGGCTGAGTTGCTTGCACATAGATTGAGCGTCAGAACCAGGAACAAAACACAGCCCCTCACGCAGGGGCCTCACACTTACCTGGGATCTTGGCTGGCTATTTTGGAGTGTGGTTATCTTGTTTTGAAGCTCATATTTCAATCTCTATGTAAGAAAGAATGGGCTGCACCTCAAACCTCAAGTTCCATCATATACCCAGTCCAGAGACCCACAAGAGCGTTCGTCGGGGAAAGCGATGGGTAAACAGAAGATTTGGCCTCAAAGAGATTGTAGACACTAAAAAACATAAAAGATGGAGATGGATATTAAGGTGTGGGGATGGTGTGAGCACGGCCAAGAACTGGGCATGCGCGTGGGACACTGAGAGAGAAATAGTGAGTTTAGTGGCTATGACTTGGTGAGGAGGAAAGACTGACTTTATCTGGTTCCACCTTTCCAGCACTATTCCAGTATGAGAGAATAGTATCGCTATGTGAATAGCAAAAAACAAGCTAAACTTTCAATTAAAATGGAGAGACAGTGAAGCAGTATTCGCTAGCCAGGCAGTCTGACCCACGAGTGCCCGTCACAGAATCACTGTCTGGACCCATTTTCCAGTTTCAGGCCAAGGAAGAGATGTGTCTCCGAATGGCACATTCTAAGCATGACCTGCATCTGTTCTGATTCTAACAGGCAGGTCCTTCTTCATTCTGAAACCATCCTTTGTCATCATGTGTCAGGCGGGGTTTATGCGAGTCATGCCAGTGGTCCCTGCACCTCTGTTGAATGGTGCTGGATCTGAACACCTTCGCTGGAGTTGAGACTCTGCCCTTTGATGTAGGGCATTCAGGCTGAGTCACTGGGGAAGCAGAAAAGGGTATGAATTCCTGCCCCAGATCTCTGCGCTGTACTCAGGAAACTTACCTCAGTGGCTTTCCAAGCGAACAAGTTAATCAAAGGTTGTGTAGGATGTAGGCAAACAGCTCAGCATCCTACCATGGGTGGAAGTTGAAAATTCATTTAAACATCTGTTATCCTGCAAAACACTGACTTATATTTTGAATCTTTACTTGCATGTGTGACTAGCTGAGTTTACAGATCCACCGCGAACTCTGTGAAAGACCCGTGTAATTAAGGAGAATGCATTCTTTTTCTTAAATCATTAGCGTGATTGCTTGAGGTCTCCTCTTTACTCTGTATTTACAGCTACAAACATCAACGTTTCTACAGACACTTTCCAAAACATTTCCCCAGGATGATAACATCATATTTACAAGTCACAAAAAGCTTTCATTTTGGAATCAATTTTTGCAAAGTTATTTTACAGTTGAGTGAATAACTAGAGATGCTGACCATGTGATAGTTTTTTTTTATATCTGTGCCATTTGATGGATAATCAATTTATTCAATATAAATGGGTCAGAAGGATATTGCTTTATGTTTTTCAAACTCTTTGAAAATGACATTTCAAATAGCCAACTTTTCCACTGGTAAAGGGAATTATCCCTACTAAGGAGATCATATTAGTCATAGTACTAAAAAATAGTTTTTTAGACTCAGTATTTATAGTACTCCCTATGTAGAATGTCATTATATTGAAGTAAAAACCAGGAGAAAAATTGCGATGTTAAGAATGCTTTTTTTTTTAACCTTCCTTCTTTTTCTAATGCCCATCCCGCAAGTCATAGGTTTTTGTCATCATCCACTGATAAACTGTAGGAACAGCATGTAAAAGGCAGACAGACAGAAATGTCCTCTAGTAAATGCACAGAACAGTATTAATTGTTTCCCTAGGTTATTAGGGAAACCTTGATGATGACATTCGAGAAGTGAGTCTTGAACTTCCCTGCCATGCATTTCTGTCCTAATCATTGTCCATGAAAACAAGCTTTCATATCACCACAAGGTCAGTCTCACAATGAATTAAATTTACTAATTATCGTGTCTGAGACTAAAAGTACTAAGGCAATGCTCTGCTTTTGCCTTAACCTTTTCAGTGTTTTGTGTTTCAGTCATCTGACATTTACCCCCAACTCATCTTCATAAAACGGACTCTCCTTCAGAATAATTGGAAAAGGTCAAATTTCCGTGTTACATTATAATTCAAAAAAAAAGGTAACATATATTGTTGCTACTAGTAATATACAGAAGAATGCATACACACATTCCACATATATATATAGTTTGGCGTGATATTCAGTCTATAACCATGTAATGCACAGATAACGTATTCATGTCATATCTGTACGATCAAAGACATTTTTCAAAGCATAGTTATGATCCTAGAAAAAAACCATTAGGCTTACAAATCTGGATTTGGTTTTTGTTTCTGTTCTCACTTGAGCCTTTCTTTCTTTTTCTTATTTCAATGATTTCAGCTTTTTTTTTTCTTCCCCTCGTCTCTGTATGTTTCCTACCTCTCCAACTGAGTTCTTTTCAGCCCAGTAGCTCACAGTGTAGGATCCTGAGCCAGGACACGTGGGCTCGAATCTCAGCTCTGACAATCACCAGCTGTGCATTCTTCACTAAGTTTCTTAGCCTTTCTGGGCCTTATTACCCCCCAGTTCTATAGATTAAAAAAAAAAGTTAACATCATCTCCTGCATAAAGTTTCTGTGAGGACAAAATACGTTAATACATCTTAGGCTCAGAAAATGGTACTTGGCACATATACGCATTCAGTTAGTGTTGGCAATTGTAGAGCAAGGATGTGGCTCTCAGATCCCTTTTTCTCCCCTGTCTTAAATCTCTCCCTCTTAAACCTCATAAAATCTAATGAAATTTAGGTTTCAGTTCACGTGTCTCTAATCGGTTGGTACGCAGCATCTGGAGGA